TGCGTGACTGTTTTCCATCCCCTATTGACATGTCTGCTCATGCACCCCTCGTGCATGCCCCACGTTGATGAAGCACGTACCCCCAATGCATCCCCACTTTGGCACGCGACTACATACCTGCTCTCCTCGCCCAAGCTTGTAGCGCATGTGCAAACACATCCGCATGACAGCCATCCGTTGGTTCTTCTCCCACACTCCCCTTCTCCCGCCCCCCGTTTAACTCCCGCCCTCCTCTTCTCTCCCGCCACCCCCTTCTCTCCCGCCCTCCCTTCCTCTACCGCCCTCCCCTTCTCTCCCGCCCTCCCCCTATCTCCCGCCCACCCCTACTCTCCCGCCCTCTCGCCATTCATTCCCCCCCGCCCTCGATGTTCATCCATACCCTTTGGACAACCCTAAACCATGAGTCATGCATGATCACGGATGTCTCATGCTTCCCCGCATTCTCATACATGCGCGCAGGAGGGAAACAGCGGGTCAGCTCGTGGGGAAACAACAGAGACGGGCTCCCGTTTGCCAACGGCCGGTTTGTAGATGCGGTCCGGGAAGCATTTCGGAATTTCTGTGTCGGGCGCCGGGTGTGCGTCAAAGCATACCACATTGCCTGGTCAATCATGGTGGTACGCAATTATTGCTCAACCCATGGTATGCTCTAGCTTGGCATGCTGTTTTGTGTCCCTCGGCATGGTATGTGGGGCATTTAGCGCAGCCTCTAAACTCTGCACGCGAGTGTCCACTGAAGTTGGTGTATTTCCTCCATCCCATACTGTGCTATACACTTTCAGATTGACCAGGGCCTATCAAAGGTTAAGAGGACTGACTGGAACGTCTCCAACTCCCACCGGAAGAACAGTGAATGGATGGGGGGTTTGCACCGAAATGTGCGGTGGATTATCAAGGACCACTTCACACGCCACACCCCCGTGTACAATACAGACGTGAAGGGCTTCAAGTGGGGCGACCGTGGGCTGTATGTTCACGAGTCAGGATTTGAGGCCTTCCGGGGGAAGGCTGAGCTTGATGCCGAAACGAAGGACCTGAAGGAGGAAGAAAAGGAGGTGTACGACTCGGAGGACATGGAGGAGGATAAGGAGGAGGAGGATGAGGAGGAGGAGGAGGAGGAGGAGGAGGAGGAGGAGGAGGAGGAGGAGGAGGAGGAGGAGGAGGAGGAGGATGACGAGGAGGAGGAGGAGGAGGAGGAGGAGGAGGAGGAGGAGGAGGAGGAGGAGGAGGAGGAGGAGGAGGAGGAGGAGGAGGAGGAGGACGAGGAACAGTGGGGGCAGGAGCAGAGGAAGAGGAAAAGGCACAAGAGACCTAGGGCAGGCGGGAGGGATGAGGAAGAGGATGAGAAACGGGGGGGGGCAAGATCTTAGGAAGGGCAGAAGGCACAAGGGGGGGAAAACCAGGGGAGGCAGGAGGGAAGCGGACGAGGAAGAGGAGAAGGAAGAGGAGCTGGGGGATAAGAAACAGGGGGGGCAGGAGCGGAGGAAGGGCAGGAAGCACAAGAGAGGCAGAGGGCAGGGAAGCAGGAGGGAAGAGGAAGTGGAGGAAGATGAGGAAGAGGAGGAGCAGGAGGATGAGAAACAGGGGGGGCAGTCGCGGAGGAAGGGGAGAAAGCACAAGAGAGGCAGAGGCAAGGGAGGTTGGAGGGAAGTGGAAGAGGAGGAAGAGGAGGAAGAGGAGAAAGAGGAGGAAGAGGATGAGGATGAGGATGAGAAGCAGGGGGGCCAGGAGCGGAGGAAGGGCAAAAGGCACGAAAATGGCAAAAGAAGGGGAGGCAAGAGGGCCAAATGATGGTGTGACGAGACAAGGGGGGCTGCAGATGAGGCATGCGTGGAGTTTACAAAAGGGGACAGCAGGAGAGGCATCACATACGTGCGAGGAGAGGCATTGGTGGAGACAGCAAGGGGGGCATCAGGGAAGGCACGTGTGGATAGAGAAAGGGGGACAGCATTACGGAGGGGAGTGGTGCAAGGGCCGCAGCAGTATAGGCATGACCGGATAGGACAAAGAAAACAGCAGTAAAGGCTTGACTAGAGGATGTCTAAGGCGGAGCAGCAGACGCATGACAGGGCTGGACATGCGAGGAAGCAGTGGACGCACGGGCAGGGCAATAGTACCACAATTAGTGAAGGAGGGATGGGAGATGCAGGAAGAGAGGCAGGAAGTGGGGTCGCAGCCAAGGCATGGATCATGGGGGCTAGGTGTAGGGGCGAGCATGCTCGGCCTAGAGCACGTGACATGGGGTGTAGTGGGAGGCATAGTGTACGGGAGCATGAGAAGCAGGTTGATGCAGATCACCCTAAGAGGCGGGGTCTTTGACTAGAGAGGGTGGGGTGTAGGATGCTCTTGTATGTGCCTTTTTTGTTGAGAATAAAACCCATTTACCAACGCTTCAGTAATGGTCATTTTGGATGCTAGGATGAGGCAACTAAACATCTTGTTAAACAACATGTTAACCATTGCAAGTCTCCAATCCAACTTCATTATAACTAAACCGGATGTCCATGAAGAGTACAATGCAATGAGATCCAATCTCCGAAATTGCTCTGCGGAAACTCCAACCAAACTTCTGCCGAAGGTTTTCACCTGAGAGGTTTGAACACACAAGCATCGCAGAAGCATGCGAACAGCGTTCGACAAAGCATCCAGAAGAAGGTATATACTTTCTCAAAATATCGTACCAAACAAGACGTTTATAAATCATTCAACAAAGCTTTAAAGCAACTCTTTCCAAAGGTTTTCTGGACGCAGGATTTTTGTGATGCTCTCTCAAACCCTGCACTGGACATTCAAGTAGACAACTTGAAGTGTGATGGGCAAAGCACGCATAAATTGAGAGGGATTAGGGAATATCGGGGAGATTTCTATCATGTTGCGAAACGACTTGCATGCCGCGCTGCATTCTCAAGGTGAAGTTGTCCGCTCAAGCTGCTAAGGATCATGCGTTGGATGAGAATCACGAATCTAAAGAATCATGGATCGTGCCAAATGGCACATCCGGTGTGCCCCTTGGCTTTGATAATCCGCTGCCATGCCACGATTGGTGCCACTGAGACTATCTTGTGCATGAGGTTTTGATAACTGGAGCGACATGAGCTTGAACGAGACACGGGAAACATATCAGGGCACAAAGAAGGGGGGCATAGCAGCTGCTGCAGTTTTCTCCTGCTACTCTCTTCAGAGGAAAATTGGTGACAAACCCCTACGAGTGCTGGACAAGTTTGAGGCTGAAACCTGAGCAGATTGAAACTGCTCTACACCCATACCTAAGCAAAGATAGAGGTTGAATCCACTCTACACACATTTCGACAGGCAAGAAGGCCATGGACAAGGCAAGGAAGGCAAGGTGTCGGCAGGTTCCAGCCACATCTGAAATGTGCCAACTGTGTGAAGGAAGCCCCAGCGGGCAGGATAAACTCTTTAAGCACTTGATCTTAAACCTCCATAGAAAACTGCGAGGGCAGGGTAGCATCTGCTACCTAGGCCCTCTTGCTACGCCGGTTACGACCGAAGTTGTCTTTGCGTTGTATGATGCACTTTCACCTACAAAAAAAAAAAAAAAAGCTTGAACAGACTTTGTTGGTACGTTATTTCTGTTGGTGTTTCCACTGCTTCGCACTGCCCGTGACACGTACGGGGGTTAAACAGAAGGTTCATCGGACGAACCTTGGGAGTCGACGAGCGGGACACAGCGGACTGGAGAAACCACGGCGAGACACGTCAGAAAGATGAGTAAGCTGAGCCGAATGAGGCGCCCCGCCTCGTCCGAAGTTGCCATCGAGGTGCAGCGATTCCAGGAAATGGTTGTTTTTAATCGTTTGTGAAGTTGTGTGCGTCACAGAGCCGAGCCTAATTCTACAGCCTAATATCTGTAGACGGTTAAACCAAAAAAATAGTGTTACCAGCAGACGAGGAATCCCGAGAGGAAGCTACTAAGCTAGGAAATGAAGTGGAGAAGACAGAAGCAGGGAGGTGAGGGTGGGAGTTGAGGGCGATGATGATCGCCCAGTTCCTAGCCAAAATTTCTTTGCAGATCTCTTGCGTGGCTCCAACATCCCAACCAGGGTTGGTGACGTGGAATTAGCGAGTTGCGACTTCCCATTCAGCCGTGGATTGTGGTGTGGATCCCGACGGATGCGAATGGACTTTCAAGTTACCATTCTCTCGCGATTTCTAGGGTGACAAGTTTCAATGGTGGCGTGGCATGCCAGCAGGGCGTGTCCAGCTACCAGAAAATCCCGCCAGGTCTGCGACTTAGACAAATCAGGACAGCAGCTGACCCTGTTTGACGAACACCGACCTCTTCATTCTCTCTCACAGTAACGGAACGAATCGAAACCCTAATGGACCCTACAGCAAATCTTCCAGTATACTAAGGGCAAGTAGCTATTGAAGAGGATTATTGGCACTAGCGACTAGCGATTTGGTGACCTGGCGACATAGCGAACTACTTACTGCTCAGCCCGTGACGTACTGCTCAGCCCGCGACCTGCCTTATCGCAACCTTAAATCGTGAAGTGCTCAAAAACGATATGGTAGAGTTGATAGAGTTCCATCGTGCGAATTTCAAGTTGACTAGAAAATCGGCAAGTGTAACACCTCGCTACCCACTGGGTCAAAACGAGGGTTGTATTTTGGCACTTGCATGTGATGCTAATCCGTACTAGCTACAGGATGTCAGAACGTGGTAGAACATTCGTATTACGAAGGGGACATCACTTTCGCACCTCCTCCCCACTCCCCATCCTTCTTCGCCCTTCCACACAATCCCTCCTGCGCGACGGCGCCGCCGCAAAAGGCACGAATTCGCAATTGACAGCAGGAGGCATCAGAGAAAGAAACGGCGCTCTATTCTGCCGGCCTCCCTCCCGCAGCTTCCTGCCAATTTCTTACTTTCCTGGCCATGATTCTTCCACCTGCTCGTTGGATAGTCTTAATAGAAACATAAACTTTCGCCCAGTCAGCGGTAGTAGCACTAACACTGTTGGCGGTCATCCCTAATGTTTCCTATTGGCGACGGCGAGTCGAGCGAGTGTCCCGTGCGTCGCCAACTGCTTTGCGAGTGCCGAAATTGTAGGTTGCGAGAGGCGGCCTCCCGAGCATCGCGGGCGTCAAAGCTGCACGAGCAGCTGGCGATGGCGAGTCAATATGACGAGCAACGGCACCGTCATCATCATCGCCGCTTTTGACAACTCTCATAAGTCATCGACGCTGCTGAAAGGATAGCTCAATCCCTGCTCCTTGTTTCCTCCCTGCTCCTTTCCCCATGCTTGTTCCCTCCCTGCTCCTCACCAGATTTTGCTCCTTATCCTCATTCTGTACGTGTTGCGAGGCAATATCCATTTGCCATGTACCCTTCCGGGCGGCCATTTCGTCGTCTTTGCCGTTGACCATTCTGCCCGATCAGGTGCGTCCTGCTCAGAGCACAATCGGTGTCCTGTTGAGGTGACGTATGGCTGGGTGCTGCATGGCTGGGTGCTGCATGGCTGGGTGCTGCATGGCTGGGTGCTGCATGGCTGGGTGCTGCATGGCTGGGTGCTGCATGGCTGGGTGCTGCATGGCTGGGTGCTGCATGGCTGGGTGCTGTATGGCTGGGTGCTGCATGGCTGGGTGCTGCATGGCTGGGTGCTGCATGGCTGGGTGCTGCATGGCTGGGTGCTGCATGGCTGGGTGCTGCATGGCTGGGTGCTGCATGGCTGGGTGCTGCATGGCTGGGTGCTGCATGGCTGGGTGCTGCATGGCTGGGTGCTGCATGGCTGGGTGCTGCATGGCTGGGTGGCGTTACACGCTTGGCTGGTCGTCACCTTCCCGCGCTACATGCCGGTCCCAAGCTGGACCAGTTTCCTTCCCCTGCCTTTAGTCGCAGTGCTACCCGCAGCAGCACGCTAGACAGCAACAGTGCTGTGCGTATAGGCAGCATAGCTACCTCCAGCGGTATGACTTGCAGCAGCAAGCTAGGCAGCACTGGTGGGAGTATGTGGACTCCACATGGCAGCAGCATCGGTTTTACCACCAGCAGCAACGATAGAAGCTGCAGTGGCAGCAGAGGCGATGGCGACGACAGTTTATTGCTGGCAGGGGTGAAGCACATCGTGGCTGTGGCGTTCGCGAAAGGCGGCGTCGGCAAGTCCACCACTGCTGCTGCACCTCACTGAATCACCGCCTCACCGCCTCACCGCCATGCCCCTCGCCGCTTCCTCTCCGCGCATCATATCCCACCCTCTCCTCCCCCTCCTCCCCACTGCCCTTCCCATCCGCCTTCGTTACCTGCCTATCCCCCTCCCCACCCCCCTCCTGTTCCCCCTCCCCACCCACCTTCCCTTCCTCTCTAACCCATCCCCCTGCCCACCCCCCCTTCCCGTCAGCCTCCCCATCCCCCTTTCCTTCACTGCATGTCGACAGGTTCCCATACACGCTTTACTCACGCCTGCCATCTTCCACACATACCATTCACCCCATTCTATCACCCCCTTCCTTTCCTAAAACCCCTCTCGCCCCATGCACCTGACCGCGCGCCTCCCCCTGTATGCCTCTTCCACCGTGCCCCTCACCCCGCACCTCTCAATGCATGCCTCTAATCGCATGCCCATCTTCCCTTATCCCCCCATCCCCGCATCCCCCTCATTTAACCATCCCACATTCCCTCCTCCCCTCCTCCCCCCAATCCCATCATCCCCTCCCCCTCCCCCACCTCTCCCTCTTTCCCCCACAGTGAACCTGGCAGTGGCACTCGCAAGTGGGGCTGCTGGACGCTGACGTGTTCGCCCCTCACTGCCCAACCTGCTCGGCCTGCACATTGTCGCCTCCTCCCCCTTCTTGCCCGCTGGGCCTGGAGACTGCCGGCTGCCCCCTGCTCGCCTCGCCCTTCCCCCACGCATGCAGGCGCACGGCATGCTCTGCATGTCCGCTCACGTGGGCTGGGAGTGTGGGCTTCCTCAATGCCTGCACACGTGGCGACCGTATGGCGTTGGCCCATGGTGATGTGATGGCGGCAGTGGAGAAGCTTGTAAGGGGGACGGAGTGGGGGGGATGGACGTGCTCGTGGTGGACATGACGCCCGGCATGGTGACGTGCAGCTCACCTTGAGCCAGCGGTCAGGCTGTCAGGTGTGTGGCAGATGGGATGGGATGGGTTCGGATGGGTTGCGATGGGAGGGGATGGGTTGGGATGGGAGGGGATGAGACGGGAGGGGAGGGGAAGGGAGGACATAAGATGGGATGGGTTGGGTCGGCATGGGAGGGAAGGGAAGGAGATGGGATGGAATGGATTGGTTGGGATGGGATGGGATTGGTGCAGCGAGTAGAGGAGGAGAGGGGATGGATGGGTGGCATGGAGTGAGGCTAGCACAATGGAAGGTAGGGAGGGCATGACCGTGGGAGTGGGTGGATGCATGAGTGGTGGTGGCCATACTGCATGGCATGGCAGCAGGGGGGTACAATAGGGGAGGGGCAGCAGGGGGGTACAATAGGGGAGGGGCAGCAGGGGAGGGGCGGCTCGGCTTGTAAGGCCACACTGCCTGCCCATGCTCTCAGCTCTGCTGGCGATGCCCATGCTCCCATGCGGTCACTTCCACCAGCAGCACGGGCGGATGAAAACGGTGGGGCAATGGATGTGGTGGTGGTGATGATGGCCATGGACGCCACCAGCAGTGCTGGGAGCACCAAGGCACTGGAGTGTGGTGGGTGCACAACCCCAGCTGCACATCCCTACTGCCTGCCCGCTCACCTGCCTAGCACTATGCCCGCTGACTCCCTCCCACTGCTGCATTCGCTTCATTTGCTCGTGGCGCTTCATTTTCCACTCTTCTGTCGCTCCTGTTCATTGCTCACCCTCACCAGGACTGGTGGTATCGACGCCGCTCAGGACCTCACACTGATGGATTTGCAGCGAGGAATGAATATGTCCTGACAGATCAACGTGCCGGTGGTTGATGGGGTGGTGGGACTGTGTGAGTGAGTGGAAGTCGTGTCAGCAAGTGAATGTACCTGTGGGCTGTTCGTACTCCAATGACCGGCTGCCTCACTTGTTGAGAGAACCTGGTGGAACTGGTCATGGCGGAGGTGGGTAGGGCGGGTACCTGGCAGAGGCAGGTTGCTCGAACAGGTGGTTCCTGGGGATTTGCAAAGCAATTCTTTTCAGTGGGTTTGTGGGAGAAGTGGTTTGGCTCTTTCATTTGTTCATGGCAAGGGTGGTTCGTGACAGAGGCTTAGGTGCTTGCCCCGTAACCCTAGACACACACACCTGCCTCGTGTCTAGTCGAATAGGTTGGCACGACGACCCATTTATTGCACTTACCTGGGCCACGATAATCTTGTTCAAATACAGGGATTTTACAATTTTGAAATCCAGCTTTGGCCTTATCTCGCCTGTTTCGTTCGTAGAGCGGGATGTCAAAGGATGTCAAGGTCGTCAGGATGAATTTGCCAGTGTCGTCTAACCTGTATACACGCCTACTATCCCAGCCTCCTATTTATATACAAGTCCGATGTAGGCTACGCAGCTGTACACAAGCAAAGCCTTGCCAAGCCAACTGCACACTCCTCCAATTGCCCTCACCTCATCTCCCTCCCCTCCATCACTCCCTGCCACCCTAACTGCCTATCCACCGATCCGCCTGCGCACATCCTCGCTGCAAACTGTGTCCCCATTTGGCAGTCGAAGAGATGTCAGCTTGGTCAGGGCAGTTAGCTTTTGCAGCCCTTCATCCGTGACTGCCGTCCAACCCAGAAAAAGTTCCTCAAGCCCTGCGAGCCTCCCCACATGCACCATACCGGCATTCGTCATACCCCTGCATTCGGATAGGCTTAGCACTTTGAGAGAGGAGAGGCCTATCAGGTGCAGCAGACCAGCATCAGTCACCTTGGAACCCCAGAGATAGAGGTGCGTGAGACAGGCCAAGGACCCAACCCCTTCCAAGGCACTGTCTGAAGCATCTGTGTGATCCAGGTTTAGCATCTCCAGTCTTGGCAGCCTGTAGAGGTGCTTGATGCCCTCTGCACTGAAGCCTGAAGAAGAGTACAAGCTAACGCTCGTCAGATGGGTCATGGTGGACACGTGGGCGAGCATGGCATCTGAGAGGCCGTGCAGATTCGTCAGAATCAGGTCGGTTCCCCGGGATGCTGACTTGATTTGCTGCAGGTGATGGATGAAGAGGGAATGAAAGATAAGGGTATGGTATGATCACCACCATGACACTCGCATAGAAAGCATGGCCTGTGAAACCATGAATAGTATGCCACACAGTTCAATGAGCACTCACCTCCCATGCGGTCTTCTGATCGCCGTCACTCTGGTTGATTCCCTGCTCCACAGTCATCCAATTCCTGTACGCTGCCAATTCCTCCATCGCCATTTTCAACTCCTGCACCTCCCTCCTCCTCTCCTCCCTCTCCCTTGCCAACGCTGCTCTCAGCTCATGCTCTCCCTTTCTGGCCTCCTCTCGCAGCTCTCTCAAATCCAATCCCCTCCTTCTCGCAGCCACATCCCATTGCTCTTTCATAGAATCCTTGTGTTCAGCCACCTCCCCCTTCACTGCTCCCACCTGCCCTCGCATCTCCCTCATCTGCGCCGCTCGTCTCCTCTCAGCCTCCTCCAACTGCACTGCAGTTGATTGCTTCTGCTCAGCCAACCGCCCCTTCACTGCTCCTAGCTCCCCTTCCACTGCTGCCAGCTCTGCAGCCATCTCTTCTCCTCTCTCCTCCACCTCTCCTCTCATCTCCCTCATCTCCGCCACTCGTCTCCTCTCAACCTCCTCCAAACCCCTCTTCCTCTCCTCCACCTGTCCTCTCAGCTCCCTCATCTCTACTGCTCGTCTCCTCTCAGCCTCGTCCAGTTCCCACTTCAATGCTGCCAGCGTTCTCTTCCTCTCTTGCACCTCTCCTCTCAGCTCCCTCAGGTCCTCTGCTCTTCGTCTCTCAGCAATATTCACCTGCTCTGCAATAGCCTCCTGGTGTGCAATCAGCGCCCTCTCCCTCTCCTCCACCTGCCCTTTCATATCCCTCATCTCATCCACGCGTCTCCTCTCAGCCTCCTCCAGCTGAAACGTACTTCACTGCTTGTGCTCAGCAAGCTCCCCTTTCACTGTCGTCAACTCCCCCTTCACTGTAACCACCTCCCCGTTCATTGAAGCCAATTTTGCAATCAGCGCCCTCTCCCTCTCCTCCACCTGCCCTCTCATCTCCCTCATCTCCACCACTTGTCTCCTCTCAGCCTCCTCCAGCTGAAACGTACTTGAATGCTTGTGCTCAGCAAGCTCCCCTTTCACTGTCGTCAACTCCCCCTTCACTGTAACCACCTCCCCGTTCATTGAAGCCAATTTTGCAATCAGCGCCCTCTCCCTCTCCTCCACCTGCCCTCTCATCTCCCTCATCTCCACCACTTGTCTCCTCTCAGCCTCCTCCAGCTGAAACGTACTTGACTGCTTGTGCTCAGCAAGCTCCCCTTTCACTGTCGTCAACTCCCCCTTCACTGTAACCACCTCCCCGTTCATTGAAGCCAATTTTGCAATCAGCGCCCTCTCCCTCTCCTCCACCTGCCCTTTCATATCCCTCATCTCATCCACGCGTCTCCTCTCAGCCTCCTCCAGCTGAAACGTACTTGACTGCTTGTGCTCAGCAAGCTCCCCTTCCACTGTCGTCAACTCCCCCTTCACTGTAACCACCTCCCCGTTCATTGAAGCCAATTTTGCAATCAACGCCCTCTCCCTCTCCTCCACCTGCCCTTTCATATCCCTCATCTCATCCACGCGTCTCCTCTCAGCCTCCTCCAGCTGAAACGTACTTGACTGCTTGTGCTCAGCAAGCTCCCCTTTCACTGTCGTCAACTCCCCCTTCACTGTAACCACCTCCCCGTTCATTGAAGCCAATTTTGCAATCAGCGCCCTCTCCCTCTCCTCCACCTGCCCTTTCATATCCCTCATCTCATCCACGCGTCTCCTCTCAGCCTCCTCCAGCTGAAACGTACTTGACTGCTTGTGCTCAGCAAGCTCCCCTTTCACTGTCGTCAACTCCCCCTTCACTGTAACCACCTCCCCGTTCATTGAAGCCAATTTTGCAATCAGCGCCCTCTCCCTCTCCTCCACCTGCCCTTTCATATCCCTCATCTCATCCACGCGTCCCCTCTCAGCCTCCTCCAGCTGAAACGTACTTGACTGCTTGTGCTCAGCAAGCTCCCCTTTCACTGTCGTCAACTCCCCCTTCACTGTAACCACCTCCCCGTTCATTGAAGCCAATTTTGCAATCAGCTCCCTCTCCCTCTCCTCCACCTGCCCTCTCATCTCCCTCATCTCCACCACTTGTCTCCTCTCAGCCTCCTTCAACTCCCCCCTGGTTGCTGCCAACTCCCTCCGTGTCTCTTCCAGCTGCACGCCAAGCACCCTCATCCTCATCTCCATCTCATCTTTCAGCTCGTGTGCTCCGGCCGTACTTGCCATGACTGTCGCAGCAGTCTCACCCATTCTGGCACACTTCCTACCCATGGCAAAACACGTGGGTGTGGCAGCACACAAGCGCACAACACAGCAGGGTGTAGCAGCATCACGCGAATGGCGTACGGTACAGACATGGTTAGGAGGAGATGTGGAGGTCGGTTAGCAAGTCACATGGAAGGACTCAGCGAGGCAGCATGCAAATGCAAATGCACTTGCTCTGCGTAATGAGAAATATGCAAGCAAGTGCCTTCGCAAAGGCAGCATTGCTCGGCGTTGAAACTGGAGAGGCATACAGCATGACAGCGTTGTGACACATAAAAAACAAGATAAGCCAAAGGAGGAGCATACGGACTTATACGGACGTAGAACAATAATGGGACTAGTAATGGGACAAATGGACCGGACAAGGAAGGACGAGTGGCATGCTCACATGGGGCTGTGCCAAAGAGGGACGATTCCACGTGGCTGTGCCATGGTGAGGGCGATGAAGGGAAGGCGGGATGAGAGATTGAGAGAGGGGAGGAGAGAGGAGCATGCGAGATGGAGAAAAAGGGTGCAGAAAAGGGTGTGGGATAGGAATAGTGCGGAAGGCAAAAAGAGTGGGAGAAATGATTGGCAGAGGGGAAAATCTGCAGTGGTGGAGGATAAATAGAGCGCACGGCATACCACTAGGCACTTGCTCGCATTTTCCAGCTTCATCAGCCCAGCCGTCACAACCAAGCCCTGATTATACACCCATGCTCTGACTTGCATGGGAGTCACGCCCATCCTCCACAGCAGTGCCATGAGCGTAGCCATGGCAGACCACAGCACGAGTAGATCAACTGCACCCGGATACTGCATATGCGGAAGAAGAAGGGCGTAAGCAATGTGCGCGTACGAACACGAGGGGCGGCAATACGTGATAGAATCTTAAAGGTGGCAGCAAAGTTGGTTGGTTTCAAAGCAAGCAAGTTGGTACCTGCAAAAGCATCAGCCACCCTAACTAGCACGCACCAGAGTGAGGAGGGAGTGAAGAAGCACGTTGAGATCGTGGGCATGAGAGTGAGGTAGGCTCGTGGCGTTCGGACACGTGGCAGTGGCGTTGGCCTGAGAGGCAGACAATACATACATGCAATAGAAGGGGCATGCACACGCAATAGAAGGGGCATGCACACGCAATAGAAGGGGCATGCACACGCAATAGAAGGGGCATGCACACGCAATAGAAGGGGCATGCACACGCAATAGAAGAGGCATGCACACGCAATAGAAGGGGCATCCACACGCAATAGAAGGGGCATCCACACACAATAGAAGGGGCATGCACACGCAATAGAAGGGGCATGCACACGCAATAGAAGGGGCATGCACACGCAATAGAAGGGGCATCCACACGCAATAGAAGGGGCATCCACACGCATACACACCCGCACACACATGCACAACACGCATAAAGCACTCAAATTATGGTAACATCAGAACAAGTAAGAAATCTGTATGCAGTCAATCATAAACGACAGAGGCATAAGCGTTGCTCACTTGCTCGGGGGGCGGAGAGGGGAGCATGAGAGGATGGATGATGACTTGCTGGCTGCTGGTGTCACGTGGAAGCTGCAAAAATCAAGAGAAGGAACATGCAGAGCACGGTTGCATGCAACCCAACCCAGAATGCATGCATGAGTGCCACGAAACACGGCAGCTGAGACTCTCGAGGCAATGCGACTTTGAGTGTATGAACCGGTGGACAGGACAAAGAGCAGCCAGCTTTGACAGGACATGGGCATGAGACATGATTATTCGCTATGTTGGAATGAGCATGGAGTGGTGAGCATGGAGTGGTGAGCATGGAGTGGTGAGCATGGAGTGGTGAGCATGGAGTGGTGAGCATGGAGTGGTGAGCATGTGAAGGAGTGGCCAGCATGCATCAGATGAGACATAACCATCCTCTGCCACAGCAAGTCCCTCACGTCCTGTGCGATGATGGCACGCCAGGCATCCCTAGCAAGTGGCGTGATGCTGGTGAGTGTGATGGCCGTGGCGAGAAGCAGGGCCACGAGCAGCCCTTGCAGCAGCATGGTCGTTGCTGCAGTCATCCGAGGCATGACTGATGGGGGGAGACCAATGCAAGGCGTGCGCCTGCACAGTGAGGTGCGGCAGAAGCAAAGGAGGGAGGGAGGCAGTGGCAGGAAAAGTGGGGCGACAAGGCCAGGGATGGACAGATGGAGCACACAGGCATGCCAGATTGTGAGGCTAAGGCGAGGTACGAGCCTTTGGAGATGAAACACAAAGACACCAATCCAAAGAGATTTTAAAATTGACCATGATGGAGAGGACACACGTGACCACAAGAGCGGGAGGGAGGGGAACGGAGGGGGGAGGAAACGGGCAGAGCAGGATTAGAGTGGAGGGAAAGGAGTAGGAGACGGCAGGAGGAGAGGGGACGGAGGAGATGGAAGGGGGGGACGACGTAGGGGACGAGGAGAGCAGGAGACGGCAAGAACAGGATATAGGTGAGGAGCAGACCGGGTGGACGGTGAGAGCAGATCAGGGAGGCTGTACCTGGAGTGGGTGAGGTGTTCCAAGCCCTAAACCCTGGGGTGTTCCAAGTAGCAGCAGCAAGCTACCAGATGCGAGCGAGCCGCTTGCTCCTCCGAGAGAGTGACAATCTTGAGGGAGGTGAAGGACGGGCGAGGGGGTAATGGAGCAGCGAGGCTACAAGGGGTAGCAGGCGGCAGTAGCGAGGTACCACGGGAATGGAGAGGAGGTGCACTAAAATGAGATGATGGGGATGATGAAGGAGGGTAGGAAGCGAAGCGGAAGGAGATTGAAGGCGGAGCACAAGTTGGAGCTGGGCTTGGTGAACGGGAAGGACGATGAGCCAGGAAAGTGAAGAAGCTCGAGCGGAGGAGGAGGAGGCGGGGAATGGATCAGCTCGAAGCCCCAATCGCCTTGCAGTTGCACGACTCTCGCCCTTCACCCTTGGCCTTCGCCGCTTTCACGCGCCGCGGGAAATTGCTCTCCGTGTCGTACACGGCACGGCGGTCAGTGATCGCAGCAGTGATGGGCAAACGACGGCATGATGCTTCGCTTCTTTGTGCCACCCAATCCCGACCGACCCTTTACACCCGCTCGCCACTTGCCGGAAACAGACGCCCCCCTCTCTTTCCCCCCGTCGCTTTCACGCACTGTGGAAAATCGTTTTCCATGTCGCACGCGACGGTTAGTGATCGCAGGATTGCTGGGCAAACGACGGCATGATGCTTCGCTTTGCTGACCCAGTCTAAATCCATACACCCCCTCGGGCCTCGTCATTTGGCGGAATCAAACGCCCCCCTGTCCGCCCCGACCTCATCCCGCAGTGCATGTCTTGGTGCTCGCTCCGCCATAACGAGTCGCTCCCGAGACTCGGCCATCACTGTTCTGGCGTACGTGGCGTCACCCCCACCCGGGCTGTTCCACGACATTCTTTGGCGTTCGTTTTTTCGAGAGCAGCGAAGCACTCTGGTGCTGCGAATGTCGTCAGTGGGTGCCTGCGCCGGGGAGCATCACATCACGACATCGTGAGGCTGAGGACGTAGATCTACCAAATCCGACGGTAATCACGGATTTGGCTGTCAGGAAGGACTACCGACTGAAACAACATTTTTTTATGACGCTACGGGATGCAAATCGAGACGGGCTAGGAGAGGTGGCGCGAGCATTCATCGAGCATGGCGACAGCTGGAGGGGTGCGCGGGAAGAATTCGGTTGCTTGCACACATGCACTAGTGGTGGCGGGTCTGGCCTCCATGTCTGGAGAGGAGATGGGTGAAAGGGATGGAGATGGGCGAGGGAACAGAGGCGTGGGGTTGGATCTGGATGCGCGAATTTCATTCAAGTTGAGCTGATTTCGCCAGCATGTGTGACCTGAAACAGCGTTTCGCCAGCACAGAAACCAAGCTGCCTTGCTGGAAGCCCATTCGTCGAGTATCGCAATTCTTGCTCGCCGACTTCGCCCTCCAAACCATCCTGCAAGCAGAACTTCGACATAGTTAGTAGTCGTTCTACACAAACATCTAGATCGTAAGAAGAGGTGACTCGAATTGCCTCCACGGAACCAGTACGAACGGCTGCGCCGTTCCCTCGCCCATTCGTAGTGCCATCATCTTTCGCACGGGTCGCGTCCTCCCGTCACTTTTCTCCGCCTCGTCTCCGCCCCATTCCCGCGCAACACTCTCGGAAATGGCTAAGCCTCGCCATCATCACGCACCACGCACTGCAGATCGCCTCACCCGCGCCGCTGCTGATTCACTTCGAGAGCCGTAGGATCAGACAGTATCAGAAACCCTAAATAGAGGTGAGCGGCATCTCACGTTTCCCCGGTCGGCTCCGCATTGCAAGCATGAGGCTCACAGCCCACGAACCATGGCGCTCGTAGTTCTGTCTGGCCAATGGGCAGCTTTTGGTTACATACCGAATCCCTTGCGAATTCTTCACACCGCCTAGACACTAGCAAAGCCCCTTGACGCAGTCTTGCTTAGCATTGTTGTCCCAGCCCCTTCCCGTGCTGATTTTCCTCGCCCTGGTCCATATATTCATGCTGCCACTTCCAGGCTCTGACCGGGCTAGTCTGTGACACACCCACCTAGGCGGTGAGTGACCCAACCTGTGCCTTACTTTGCATTTGGCTGACCCCGCTTGTGCCTGACCTGGGGACTGACCTAGCTTGTGACTGCCATAGCTTCCGACTGACCAATTTTGTAAATGACCCAGCTTGTCGCTTACCCAGCCTGTGATCAACATAGCCTCTGACTTAACATAGCTCCTGACTGACCTAGATTGTGCGGCAGCTAGTTCCTGATTGACTTGGATTTTGACCGAAATAGCCAGTGAGTGACCTAGTCAGTGAGTGACCTAGTGTCAGGCTTTGTTATTGACCTAAATTGTTAGGGACTTGGCCTTTGTTTGAATCGGTTTGTGCTTGACCTACCAGGTGACAGACTAGCTGGTGACCGATCTAGCCTCTGTTTGACCTACCTCGTGACTGTTCTAGCCTCGAGCTGACCCATTTTGTGAATTACCTGGTTTCCGGCTGATCTAGCATCATTGACCTAGCCAATGATTGACCGAGCCAATGATTGACCTAGCCAATGACCAGCCAATGATTGACCTAGCCAATGATTGACCTAGCCAATGATTGGCTTAGCCAATGATTGACCTAGCCAATGATTGACCTAGCCAATGGTTGACCTAGCCAATGATTGACCTAGCCAATGATTGACCTAGCCAATGATTGACCTAGCCAATGATTGACCTAGCCAATGATTGACCTAGCCAATGATTGACCTAGCCAATGATTGACGTAGCCAGTGACTGTCTTGCCAATGATTGCCTAGCCAGTGATTGACCTAGCCAATGATTGACCTAGCCAATGATTGCCTAGCCAATGATTGACCTAGCCAATGATTGACCTAGCCAATGATTGACCTAGCCAATGAGTTACTAACCTCGGACTGACTGACCTGATCTGTGACTGACCTAGCGTATACTGCCCTAGCCTGTGAGTGGCCTAGCTGTGTCCGACTTTGCGTGTGAGTGACTTGGCTGTAACGGACCTAGCCTGTATGTGACCTTGCTATAACTTGTCTAGCTTGTGAGGTCCTGATTCTGTATGCGACCTACTTCTGACTGGCCCAGCCCCTGACCACCAACGTGTGAGATGGTCCTAGTTGTCACATTGTCTAATTCCGACCAATACCTAGTTCAGAGCCTTCAGGTCACCCCCCCCAAAAAAAAAACCACTCTGCTTACTACTACCAACCAATGACCCCTCCCGACCACTTGGACTCTCATTCCATAATTCGTGAGCAATGGCTGAGTCGAACCATGCTCGCTGCTACCCGCTTCACCCCGCTTTGTGTGGCCAACCTCTGACTACCAATACCAAGCCAAGCGTGGCTCGCTCCGAGCCAAGTTAGTGTGTGTCTCCGTCATGAGGCTCGAATATAATGGCCGAGTTGAGGAAGCTCTCATCTCAGCAGCAAGCTGCCGGGCTCGCCCCAGCCTTGCGACTCGCGAGCCACCCTGTCCCAACCTCCTCCAGGTATAATCAATCAACCAGCTTAAAGGATTCTGCATGTCTCACGCTCCTTGCCCACCTCAGGCAACGGATGAGCTTTGAAAAGGACCTCTTGAGTGCATCAGATCTGACCTGTAAAGTGTGTACTAGAAAACCAGCACAACCAGAGTCGCACTGGTTTCGTGTCAACCTCGTCCTCTCAAGCTGACCAACTCTTTGAGAGCCGAGTGGAATCTCAAGCTATGATGAAAGTCGACTTCTGGAATCTTCCGATTCGGCTCAAAGAGCACCTTTTCTTAGAGAATCCCCACCTCATGAGCCAGAGTCTGCGAGTCTCTACCCTTCAACCTTTGTCCGCCTTGCTGCAACATTCGTAGTGTCCCTTTTCTGCAGTCCTTATTAGTGGTTTTTGCCACTCCTCACACCTTCTCCTTTTCTCCTTTACATGGCCTGGCCTTCCCTTGTTCCGTTGCCACCTGACATCATGCCGAATGCATTTGTGTCAGCACAAGCTGCTTCTCCTTTCACTGCTGGTCCAAACATGTGCTCAATCTCTTCTCCCTCATCTTGTCATCAATTCTCCACATATTTATTGATTTGCATTGCAATCTTATTAACCCATTTTACACTGCTCATCCGTCATTTTGTTACCACATGGCAAGTAGCTTCTCTCACGCATCACTGTGTAAAGCCACGTGCTGTTACTTTATCGATTCATGTTCTGCCCGCCTGTCCTCCTGTCTTATGTTACACTTTCAGGTGACTCTACGCTTCTCTCTATTAGGCAATTCTGGGTTTCATGTCGGATCAGCTGTCTGGGCTCGATATGCTGCCGTGTGAAGTTTCAGCACCGCACGCGGCAACAGACGGGGCAAGAGAGGCCATGGAGATGAGGCTGAAGGCGCTGGAAGGGCAGCTGGAGGAAACGAGGAGGGGGTTGGAGGAGGCTGAGAGGATCAGGGCAGCAGAATTGGTACTATTGAAAGGGGAGCTGCTAACAGTGCGAGGCGAGCTGGTGACAGTAAGGGGGGAATTGCTAACAACGAGGGGTGAGCTGGCGACAGTGAAGGGGGAGCTGGACGCTCTCAAAGGTACTTAGGGCCGAGAAAGGAGTTTGCTGAACAGAGGGAGTGCGTGCAGGAAGTGAAGGAAAAGCTGGCTTTTGAAGAGGAGGTGAAGGAGCTTGGAAAGGAGTGAGCTCGGATGAGGCGGCAGCGATGTCATGCCCAACAGCGAAGCATGTGGAGTTTGATGTTGAAGAGGAGCTCAGGATGCGCCGAGGGATTCATAGAATGGTTTGGCAGGTGAGTAAGGGACTGGTGGCATTGGCTGCCAGATGAATGGATTAATGGAATACCATATGTCTTTTGGTATGGTTTCAACTGTTGCTGCTTCAAACACCTTTTTTTTTGTTCCATAATTCGCAGAGGTTTCGTGCGACCACGACATTAGATCTGAAGGGGCTTCCTTACCTCTCAGAGGCTATCCTGGGCCACGTGTCCACTATGACTCACCTGAAGCGCATCACTCTCGATGGGTTAACACCGTTCAGTCCAAAAGGAATCAAGCACCTGTACATGACGCAGCTGGAGAGCCTCGAGCTGACCAGCAATGCCATAACAGACAGCTGCTTGGAAGGCATTGGAGCAGCAAGAAGCCTCAAGTCTCTCTATCTCAATGGAACCGCCGTGACTGATGCTGGTCTGCAATTTCTGGCACCTTTGAGCAGGCTCCAAGTGCTTGTTCTTCCAAGTATGATCACGGATACTGGCCTGGAGAACATCCAGTGCTTAACTGCTTTGGAAGGGCTGGATATATCGAATTCTATCGTGACAGAAAAGGGTGTGGCGCTACTCAAGGGCTTGCCTCGTTTGAGGCTGATTAGGGCGGAAGGTCGCGGCTTGCATGCACTCGTGTTGAGCAACCTTCCTGGAGTAGAACTGGTTAGTGTTGCTCTTAGTGATATGAATGACTAGGAATGGCTCAGTTTCCATTGCTTCAACTATGTCATTGCTGGCAAACCCACTTTCTGGACATCCATGACTATTCTACCGTATGTTCACGGTGCCTACCCTTTCTGAGCTCAAAGGTCGTCGAGGAAGAACAATAATGTCGGATCACATTGTGGGGTTTGTATGCTGCAATGGCTGCTTCCGCATCACACGCCGTCACTTCGTCCTCACTTCGTCCTGCAGCAGCATAATTTCAAGCAGCTTCTCAAGCCATTCCTCCTCCGCCTTCGCTCCACCCTCCTTGTCCCCTCCCTCTGCAACCCACTCCCACAAGCCCTGCCGCAGCTTGAAGGCCAGCAGACCATTGCCTGCACCCACCTGCCTGCCGCGTGTGGGAGGGGTGAGAAAACAAATCATTTTCACTTCTGTGCCTCGCGCTCCTCTGTGTCTCACCCCCTTCTGCACATTTGCACCCCCACCCCACCCCCCCCACTCCTCTCCCCTCCCCCCCCCCCCCCCCCCCCCCCCCCCCCCCCCCCGCGCATGCACACCCCACCATGCCACTCTCCAACTCCCACAACTGGCATCACTCCCACTGCCTGCGCACCCCTCACGCCGCTGCTTGAAATTACGCTGCTGTTGCTGCTCCTCACTGTCCCCGCCGCTCCTCGCCTGCTCCAGTGGCTGCCTGCCATGTGGCAGGCCAGGATAGCCTGCCAGCTGTGAAGTCCTTCCACTGTTGGCATCCGTGGCATGTGCAGGATAGGACACCACGCCCCCTTGCATGATCTGAACTGCCGCGCCAGGGATGAGAGGAGAGGGGAGTTAACACGGGACACAGTGGCATGGGGCGATGGGAGAGGTCAGGGACGGGGGGATGCAGGTGAGCAGGGGGGTGAGTGGGGCCGGGATTTGGGTGGAGGGGAAGGGGATGAGCAGGGGGGGTAAAGCAGGGAAAGCATTGACATGTGGATGAAGGAACTTCACTACCAGCAATTGAGGAGGGGATGGGGGGAGACCAAGCGGCAAAGGATACCACACGGAATGCAGGAAGCTATGGGAGGGGGGCAAGGCCAAAGGAGCCGGTCGGGAAGGGGAGGGGGAAGAGGACTGAGGGGAGTAACAAATTGATGGAGACCGCGCGAAGTGCAACGAGCAGACGGAATGATGGAGGGGAGGGAGTCAGAGGAGGGGGGAGAGGGATTCAGAGGAAAAAGGCGCGGGCAGAAGGGCTGGCGAGTGAAAGAGAGGTATGGTGAGAGTGCTGTTAGCCGTGCAGGTGCACGATGAACGCCGCATGCAAGGATCCATGGGATGGGTTGGCTGACAGGTGCAGCAGTGACCCGGTGGGCACAGAGGGGCGAGAACGGCAAGGAGGCAAGGCCAGGAGGGCGAATGGCAACTGGGGAGGAGGTGGGGCAGGGAAGAAGGAGAGACGGATGGAGGAGCGATCATGATGTGCTTCAACGGAATGGCTGTGCTGCCGTGCTGGCTCTAAAGCAAGGCAGACTCGCATCGGCAGGGCTTCACCTCATTGGCTGCGTGCATGATTGCACGGACAGAAGCGGGGTGGAGAGGGAGGAGGTATAGGGGGGGAGTAGAGACGTGAGAAGAGGAGGATGACGAGAAGGAGCAGCGACAGTGCGGTTGCGGGGGCGGAGGGAAGAGGGTGGGTGGGTCTGGTAGTATTCCCCTCCCCCTTTCCCTCCCACCCTCCTTCCTCACCAACCACCAATCAGGTAACGGACATTATCGCTGGAATGGGCAGATCGGCGTGGGGGGACTGCGGGCGAGTGAGGCAGCAGTCCCTGCTTGCGCTGCTGCCTTTGCTGGAACCAGAGCACTGCATCGGCCAAAAGATTGCATATGCGCATTTGACTGAAGCTGCAGTGCAGAGGGGGGAGCGCGGCGAGGGGGGTGAGGAGCAGGGAGTGCAAACGGGGGAGGGGTGGAGGGGGGAAGGGGGCCAAGAATGGAAGCAAGATAATGGGTGCGAGGAATAAGACAAAAGCAAAAGAGGCGGGGCAGGGGGTGAAGCACAGTTACCTTTGTCATGTGTGCGCGGGGAAGCTCACCCATCTCACTGACGAAACCACCTCTCAGACAAACAAACCAGGAAAATATGAGAATTTTGAAAACTACCCTGTAAATGTCCAGTACCCACCTTTGCTAGCAACCCATCTTTGCCATGAACCCATCCACCTCTGCGAGGAAGCCAATCCAGCAGCGTGGTTGGAGCAGGCCGGGCAGGTGAGCAGCAGCGTGGTGGGGGGTTCCATGGCCCGCGATGGTGGCGTGGTTGGAGCAGGCCGGGCAGGTGAAGTTACTCGTGTTCGCCACCATCCCCGGCGCCTGAAAGGAAAGAGAAGACATGGAAGGGCAGGCGGGAGACGAGATGGTGAAGTGGGATGTGCATGCTCTCCTGAGCACCTGCATGCAAAACATGGTACCCACCAAGAGGGGCACGAGGGGGGTGGTCACAGGAAGGCAGGTGAGTGCTGAAATACCTTGTGCACAGTGGTGGAGAATCGATCCCAGTTTCTCTAAACAAGTGAGGCAGCAAGTCATTGCTGAGATCAATACCACCCCATCTCCCACCATCCCACCACCCCATCTCCCACCATCTCCCCCAGAGAGACAAATCGAAGGTTGGAGCACTACGAGCAAATGAAGCAAATCCAGCAGTGGGAGGGAGTGTGCTAGAACATAGTGCTAGGCGGGTGTGCGGCCAGGCAGTAGGGATGTGCAGATGGGGTTGTGCACCCGCCACACCCCGGTGCCTGCCTGCTCCCAGCACTGCCGGTGGCGTCCACGGCTACCATCACCACCACCACATCCATTGCCCCACCGTTTCCTTCCGGCCGTGCAGGTGGAAGTGACCAGGCAAGATGCTAGGTGGGTTGTGGACATCGCCAGCAGAGCTGAGAGCATGGGCAGGCAGTGTGGCTTATAGAAGCCGAGCCGCCCCTCCCCTGCTGCTCCTCCCCTATTGTACCCCCCTGCTGCTCCTCCCCTATTGTACCCCCCTGCTGCCATGCCATGCAGTATGGCCACCACCACGCATGCACCCACCCACTCCCACGGTCCTGCCCTCCCTCACTTTCATGGTGCTAGCTTCACTCCATCCCACCCCTCCCATCTCCTTCTATCCTCGCTGCACCATCCCATCCCAACCAATCCTATTCCATCCCATCTCCTTCTCTTCCCTCCCATCCTGACCCAACCCATCCCATCTTATCTCCTCCCCTTACCCTCCCCTCCCCTCCTGTCTCATTCCCTCCCATCCCAACTCATCCGAACCCATCCCATCCGGTCTGCCACACACCTGATAGCCAGTCCGCTGGGTCAAGCTGAGCTGCAGGTCAACTGTGCCGGGCGGCATGTCCACCACGAGCACGTCCTGCCGCCCTCACTCCCTCCCCCTTACACGCTTCTCCACCGCCGCCATCACCATGGGCCGGCCTCGCGCCACACGGCCGCCACATGAGGGGGCATGAGGAAGCCCGCAGACATGCAGAGCACGCCGTGCGCCTGCAGCGGCAAGATGGGCGCGTGGGGGGCACGTGAGGCGAGCAGTGGGGTGGCGGCAGTCTCTAGGCCCAGCGAGAAGGGGGCAGCCGGCGATGTCCACGCCGAGCAGGTTGGGCAGTGAGGGGCCCAACACGTCGCTGTCCAGCAGCCTTACTTGCTGTGACGGGCGAGTGCCCCTGCCAGGTTCAGTGTAACGGAAGGGGGGGTGGGGGGGGGAGGGGAAGATGGGAATGGGGGGAGGAGGGATGAGGGATGGGGGAGGAAGGATGGAAATAATGTGGGATGGGGGGATGAAGGGGATGCGGGGATGGAGGGATGAGGGAAGATGGGCATGCGATTAGAGGCATGCAGTGAGAGGTGCGGGGTAAGGGGCAGATTGGGACCGGCGTGCGCGTGCCATTCGCGGGAAGGTGACGGCCAGCCATGCGTGTAAGTAAGCCACCCAGCCATACGTACGTCACCTCAGCAGGACACCGTCTGTGCTCTCAGCAGGACACCGTCTGTGCTCTCAGCAGGACGCACCTGCTCGGCTACCTGCTGGTGGTGAAGGCCAAGGCCGTCTGGTCGGCAGGAAAGACGATGAAATGGCTGTCCGGACTCACTGCCGGTGCGTGTACTGCCCAGTTTTCAGCAATTCGCCGTGGCCTGTGAGAGGGTGACATGTAGCATAAGGGGTGAGGGAGAGGGGGGAAAGGGGTTGAAAGGGGGTGGACTGGTGGGGAAGGAAAAGGGGGAAAGGGGAGAAAAGAAAGGGGTTGGAGGAGAGAAGGGAGTTCAGATGTCTTGGAAGGGGTACATAATGAATGGATCTTTAGAACACGCATAGGAGGATAAGGAGCAAACATTGGTGAGGATCAGGGGGAACATGCACGTGCACGGGAGAAGAGCAGGTGGGGAGGAGACGATTCTCCCACCAGCGCTGAAGGCGATGATGACGGCAATACTGAACGCCATTTGACCCACCATCGCCATCGCCAATCGCTCGCCGTGCAGTCCGACGCATGCGATGCTCTCTACATTGCCTTGCGACGTGCAGCTGCGACGCGGTGCTACGACTTTCTCGGCACTCGCGGAGCAGCCAGACGCCCGTGACGCTCGCTCGAGTCGCCGCCGCCAATAGGAAGCATGGATGTCGACCAGCAGTATTACCGTAGTGCTGTTACTGAGTCAATTCATACGGAATCTAGACTGGACAAAATTGACGTTCCTTTTGAGACCACATCACAGAGCAGTTACGGAAGAAGGGCCGAGGACGGAATCATATGGACATTAGCGGCCACGCTGGGAGGAGCGAGAAATCGGCAGGAAGCTGTGGGAGGGAGGGCGGGGAAAAAAGCAAATCCGCCATTTCTTTCTCTGGTGCGCATTCGTGCTTCTTGCGACGGCGGCGGCGTCGCGCAGAGGGGGACTGTGCGACGGTGAGGAGGAGAAGAAGGATGGGGCGGGGGAGGAGGTGCGAGTGCGGATGTTAGACCACGTTCTAACAACCCATAACGATTATGAGCATCATATGTTTACTGCCATCTCGCCGTATTTATCAGTCAACTTAGATTTCGCTCGATGGAACTCTGAACTGTCAACTCTACCCTATCGCTAGACCGCAGTTTTAGATGGCGATAAGGTCGGTCGCGGGCTGAGCGGCTAGACCGTGGCTAGGTCGCTATGTCGTTAGGTCGCCATGGCACTGGTCGCTACTAGTGCCATAATTCGCATGTTCAAATATATTACAGTAGTTGCTCTTTGTATGCTGTTTCGATCGTTTCTGTACTAGTTAGGGCTTGTTCAGTTCCGTTATCGCGAGAGCGAATGAAGAGGTCGGGGTTCGTCAAACAAGGTCAGCCGCTGTCCTTATTCGTCTGACTCGCAGAGCTGGCGAGATATTCGGTGGCTCGACACGCCCTGCTGGCATGCCACGCCACCACCGAAACTCGTGTCAGGATGGAGTTCGCGAGAGCAGGGTAACTTGAAGAAACGTTCGCATCTGCCCAGAACCATATTTCACAGCGTGTGGTCGCAATTCGCGAATTCAACATCTGTCAGCGATATCAGCCTCTCACAGCCACCATCAAAATTGCAACGCAGATCTTGGCAGGAAAATGGGACTTCACCTTCCACCCTCACCTAGTACCTCCTAAATTTTCATTTCCTAGTTTCAGCTTTCCTTCCTAGATTCTTACTTGACGTCGTCTGCGGCACTGCTATAGTAGTTTCTTGGTTTCACATTCTACAGGTATTCACGCTTTTCTATTGACGCTCAGAATCCATGCTACTACTAGTTGCTTGCGCACATTTCACAAAGCAATAACCAGTCGTTCAAACAAAGAAGCTCGATCGCCGCACTACGACTCATGGCAACGGACAAGGGACGCATCATTCGGCTCGGCTTACTACTCATATTTCTGGCGTGTCTCGCCATGGTTTCTCCAGTCCGCGGTGTCCCGTTCGCCGCCTCCCAAGGTTCGTCCTTGTAGAACTTCATCCCAAAATTTGGAAGCCTGAAATACTATTCAATAAGTTATTGTAGGAGGCCGGAACATTTTTGGGATGTGTAAGCCCCACATGCGTTACATGGGTCATGGTGGTGCCATGGCACCACTGGTGTGGCCTCCATGGGACCCTTGTTGTACTGAATCCTACTACCGGCGTCACCAATACTCCATACTAAGACATGAAATTTATCATGGAAAAATGCATGAAAGATTGGAGGTACGTGAGGGTCCGAACCTCAGTTGTGCGTCAAAAGGGTTGAGTGCATCTGCTGCGCCTCAAATATAACCCTCGTTTTGGCCCAGTGGGTAGCGGACACGCCTTGGCTCGGCCGTGATAGACGCAGTTAGCCTGCTGTGTCTTCAACTACCAAACTTCGAATTTTGGTACACTCGTGCTACTCTATTTATCGAAACGTCATGCACAATGTACGGTTCAGCTGTGGTACTGTAACGCCTGTGGGGCTTACACGTAAGGGTATGAGAGCATCCGCTGCGCCTCAAATACAACCCTCGTTTTGACCCAGTGGGTAGCGAGGTGTTACAGGTACCATTCATGGCGGCAGATCGTCAAAGTCGTGTGGCACTCACATGTATCCATCATATCCCATGATTCTCATCCCAACGCATCATCCTACTAGTAACAGCTTGACCAGCCGACTTCAAGCTTGGAATTTTGCAGTATAGCGATCTACCCTATCTTCTCACCCACACGTGGAACGCAATTCAATAGTGCTTGCCTGTCACATCCGTCTGCTCTAATGACGCTTGGTGCAGGGTTTGAGAGAGGGAGGGATTCATCTTTTCTTCCCCCTCAGAAGCAGGTGTTTCTCCCTCTTGATTTTTTTATCCTACTCCATTGCAGCCCCTCTCCTCCCTGCTTGTGCAGCCGTTGCAACTCCTGATGGCTGGACTTCCGGCAGGCATAGGGGGGGAAACATAATTTGTGGGTGGCTTCCTGCCATTGGTGGATGCAGCAATGCCAAGAGCTGCAGCTCGAGTGCCTAGGATTTTCACCATGAGTGAAAGTCGTCGTACTTAAATTACTTGCTGTGCCTAATGGAGCTCAGGAATGCTCATCCCCAACAATACGTACCCCTTATTTGACCCCCTCTCCCGTTTATGACTTTCTCAGTTGCACTATCATTATCAGTGGATAAATCAGACCACGTCATGCCTATGCATCATGCTTAATCACTGTAGCAGATTCAATCTCCGAGTCACGGTTTCTAGGTACTTCACCATCGCATGTGCCCATACCGCAGTCGTGCAGCACAGGCTGATGATTGGGAGAGGAATAGAAGGGTGCGACACACAGGTGATGAGAGCCGAGTTTTCCGTCACGGTTTCTGGGTACTTCACCATCACATGTGTCTATTCCGCAATCGTGTGGAACAGAGTGTGAAGGGAGAGAAGAGAAGGGTTCGACACAACCCCTCCTTCTATCATTCTCTTTCCTCCTGCCCCCCTTTCCCCCACCATCTGCCACCAGTCCAAGTCCTGCAGGACTTGCAGCAAGCATGGGGGATGAAAATCTCTGGATGGGTGGCTGGGGGGGACTGCAGCGTTGCCTATGGTGTGGAGTGCGATGCGCAAGGCATGGTGACCAGCATGTGAGAGCACCAAACTCTGACTGGTCTTCCATCCCCCATGTGCATACCAACAATTGCTGGCCTTGACTTTGGTTCCTCTGTTTCCTCTCTCCACCATTCCGCGTGCTCTGTATTTGCAATCCCTTGTTACATTTCGGCATGTTAGCTCTTGCTGGCTATGCATTCCCTGGACGACTTTTTGTGTTTTAATTTTGTTCACGTGCACTCCCTTGCTTCTTGAACCGTTCATCCCACGGTCCTCCTCTCGTCCAAACTCGCTATCTGCTCTTGGAATCGTCCCTACCATGTCCCTCCACATGCTTGACTTACATGTTGCAACACAATATTAAAAAGCATACTCCCTTGGATCTCTGGAATGACCCCGCAACTAATGTGCTAATATTGCTAGTGTTTGAAATGGTTGAAGACATGGGATTTTATTGAGGGAGAGAGCGAGCAGGACAGTCACAGTTCTAGTAGTTCTATCATACCCAGGCCAGGGAACTAGGAGACATGCCGAGGGGCATGGCAACAGTTGCTACTGCAGCAGGTTCATGTGGGAAAGCAGTTCGATGGATTCTGTCAAGGGAGAAGTAGAGAAAATGGGCAAGTGGAAGGAGAGATGTGGAAACGTTCGCAGTGAGTGTTCTGGGTGTCTGCTGGACAGGTTGCTACGTGCTTGGAGTTCCCATGCAGAACTCTGTGTCGGAATGAGACTCACAATGCCAGTGCCATCTATTAAAAGCAAATCCGCTTCTTAAAAATGTCACCATAGAACGTTTCATCCATACGAAAACGTGGAAAGGGAAGTCAGACATTTGAAAGCGGTAAAAGGTGTTAATGCTGTCTAATCTACCTTTATCACCCCCACCTCCCCTTCCCCGTTTCCATCATTTTCCCTTGCTTGGCTCATATTGACATGCGTTCAATATGAACCTATAGTTATATGCTACCCTAATGCACCTCTCAGGTTTCTATCACCTCTATGCATGTAGGCACGGCTGGAAAACATGTGGGTTGCATGGACCTCTTCTCATTTGAATTGATTAGGGTTTAGGGTAATCCTCATATCATTTGTAATGCTCTCCACCCATTCCATTCCACTTCCCACCAGGTATCTGTATGAGAGTTTCTTAACCGGATCCATTCCAGACTCCATCAGTGCCTTGGACAGGCTAACCTATCTGTGAGTATGAGTGGTGGGAGCATGCACACGAGGGCTAGCATGTAGAGATGGGCATATGCAGAGATGAGCCTGAGCAAGGCATGAGCAATGACCTGTAACCAACTCGTGATGAGCCGTGGGTGACCATCATGGTATGATGGAAATCCAGTGGCCAGCTTGTCATGAGCCGAAGGTTGGTCCTGCCAGTTTTTTAGTGCCAGCGATCCTATCCATGAAATGTAGCCGAGGGGAGCCACAAGCTCGTGTGGCTTGCCTGTTGCCGGCTTGTCAAGAGAGGAATGTCATGAAAAGGAGTTTTCGCATGCACCAATGAGTGTGAGATATGATAATATATGAGAGTAACTATGACAGATGAGAGCGTGCATCAGGATATGCCAAGGCGCTGACAACGCATCCAGTCTACGACACAAATAACCCATAGCCAGTGGACCATTCAAGCCCATAGAGAACTTGCACTGGCCATAGGTAGGAGGTATATGAGCTACCAAAGGCCGAACTTGGACTTCCTGGACTCAAAATTCTTCAGCCCGACCAATGGCCTGTGTAGAGTCCAAGATGTCTTTCGCATGGCTGGAAAGTATGTCATGTTAAGCTTTTTAGGCGCATGATTGACTGGACTCAGTCACGCTGGTTGAACAAAATTCTCCAACACAACTCAACTAACCATGCTATCCTGAAATCGCCTCTTGAAATATGCGGACC